CAGCTTCTTTGAGCTGTCATTTCATACTCCATACCACTTGTGGTGAGCTTCCCTATATCTAGTTTAGAAAAAAACAGTTCAAGGCAGAAGGTGGTTTCTTTCTCTACTATAAAAAGAGTTTTGGGTCACGGGTGGTTGCCTTCTCACTGTGCTTTTAAAAGAAGAGAGAAAGTACCTTCACTTTGCTGTGAGCAAAAATCTGTTCTTTTTCATCTGAAACCATTTTGCATCTCACTAAATATTACTGAGGATCCCACAAGTAGCATCTTACCTATTTGCAACAACAAACTGCATTAGGGAAATCTCTTTAGACTGGTGGAACCCAGCAGCCCAGGAAGCTTTGGGAAATAAAGTATCTGATAGCGGGTGGCCTAAGTAGACCAGCTGTATGTCTATACATAGGAACTTCCACTTAACAAGTTCGGGCAGCTTGCTCCCATAGCTTATGGAGAGTTGGACCCATTCTATTCCCTTTAGACTCCCTGGGTTGGAGAAGAGAAACAGGCATTTCATCATGTCCTATGCTCCCTTAATCGTGATTTTTGGTTGTTCTTATACATAATAGTTTCATGTGAAGGAGTAAAAATGGCAATCCCAGGAGATACAGGGCCACTGACCCATTGTCCGTATGTCAGTAGTCTCCTTCTCCTTTGTGACATGGTCAGTTACTATGGTAATCAGTAGCGAAGGTTTATTAGGGCTTGTTAATATTTAAAAGGTGATTTATAAGCATATAAATAATTGGCTGCTCACTACAGGTGGGACTCCTGAACTCAGCTGCCTTTGGCAATTAGCTAAAGAATTTGAAAGTTGTGCTCCTGTCCTCCATAGCTGCCTGCCTGTTTGGCTCAGAGTATCAACCTTGAAACAAGGCAAAGAGAAAACAATCCATCAGTAGGGTAGGTGGAACAGACCTTATGACCGATATTGGTTGCTCGCCTAGCAGAGTGCAGAGAAGCAGATGGGAAGGAGTACAGACAGGTTGCCCACTTTCAATTTTTCCTTCAGAAAATGTACATACAACATCCTGAAAACCCTTGTTTCTTGGCAAATTATTTAGGAATGGAGCCAGACTTATATATAAGTTGTTGTTTATACTGGAAGAGCCCCTTGTCTAAAAATATCTCCCTGAACCATCAGTCACAGGATCTAAAAGTGCATCAGAATAGATGTATTGCATTATTTTCAGCATTGGGTGTGTGTTTCTTTGAAAGAGACAGACTGAGAGTGCTAGGCAGAGTTGTATATTGTTTAGGGTATTAGAGGAGAATGAGGCTGAGAGAAAGAGTGTTTCAATACTCCCAATGGTAGTAAACATGCTAACGTTGCTGGTGATCACATTTTTGGTAATTGGAGAGACCCAGTGTAGCCTGAGAAGACCTAAGAAAATAGAGCTGAGACTGTCTCTCAAGAGTTTGTGGATCAGATTCACGGTTTTTCCAGATTGCAATTTTGACAGGTTAGACCTAATTTAGATGATTCTGGGGTTTTTGTTTTGTTTTGTTTTTAACTTTTAAAACCCCTTTTCATTATCAATATGTTCCCACAGTTGTGGAGTTTTGAATAATTATTAATAAAATAATTATTAATAAAAAGACATACTTACTGGGTTTGATCCATGTACAGCCACCCAACCACCCCCAAAACAGAAAGCAACAAAAAAGATATACTTACCAAAGAATATCGTGTATTGATCTCCCTAATCTACAAGAGATATTATATGGCATATTATTATTATTATTATTATTATCATTATTATTACTATTTTTTGTTATTTTGGCTTGAGTTACATGAGATGAACGAAGAGGAGGAAAATAGGAAGGTAACTGGAAGATATCACAAAGGTAATGAGACATAAGAGGAGAGATTTTGAAGAGGCAAATACTTTAGAGAGAGAGAGATTAAAAAGAAAAATTGGAGGCTAAAAAAGATGTTCCATCTGGTCTCCGAAGCTTATTTCTTTCATTTATAGACAATCTCAGGAGCTGAGAACAAGGCATAGTCGGCCAGTGCTTCTTGAGGGGGGGCATAAAAAAAGGTAAGAGAATCCACTGTGCATTGACTGTAGGGTATTTCATCAGCTCCACGAGGTATACAGACCAGCAGTGATTGTGTATATCTAAATGCCAAAGGGGATGATTACCCCTCCAATTATTTTAATTTATGTAACAGCATATTTTCTTCCCCACTCAACTAAATGCCTGATTCCACTGATAAAGCACCTAACTCACCAGTAACTTGAAAATGTTATTCAGGTTGATTACACGCTACTCTATGGAGTTATCTTTTGTTTTAGTAATTGGTGGTAGTTTTTAATTCCATCTTCTACAAAATGTGTGTGAGGGGTTATCTTGATCCTTTCTCTATTTTGCTGAGATTTTTGAACACATTCTATGCTTTCTGAAGAAAACTCTATTCCAATTAAAAATAAAAACTGGCATTCATATAATTTTTACTATGTTTCAGGCGTCATTCTAAGTTTTTTTTTTTTAATTTTTTTTTCAACGTTTATTTATTTTGGGGACAGAGAGAGACAGAGCATGAACGGGGGAGGGGCAGAGAGAGAGGGAGACACAGAATCGGAAACAGGCTCCAGGCTCCGAGCCATCAGCCCAGAGCCTGACGCGGGGCTCGAACTCACAGACCGCGAGATCGTGACCTGGCTGAAGTCGGTCGCTCAACCGACTGCACCACCCAGGCGCCCCCTAAGTTTTTTATATATAACTCATTTAATCCTCACCAAAAGATTATAAATTGGGTCTTATTACTCTTCCATTTTTAAAAGTGAGGAAACAGACATGGTTAAAAAAATTAAAAACAAAACAACTTTCTTAAGAATATAGAAAGGAGCAAATTAGGAAAAGATCTAGAATTTGAAAACTTAACACAGGAGAGCCGGCTCTTCTATTTCCCTTCATTACATTAGCAAATATGTTGACTGATGGTTCCACCTCTGGTTATGAACTAGGAAATTATAAGAGAGTAAAACTCTCACCATACCAAGCAAAACAAATCATGTGAGGTACAGAATATTTTCCTGAACTCCTAAGAAAAGTGACATTGAAATAATCTTTATTTTTTATTTATTATTATTTCTTTTTTCTACTTTGAGAGAGAGAGTGTGTGTAAGCAGGAGAGGGGGCAGAGAAAGAATAAGAATCCCAAGCAGGCTCCACACTCAGCACAGAGCCCTAGATGGGGCTCAATTCCACAACCAGCTGAGAGATCATGACCTGAGCTGAAATCAAGAGTCAGTCACTCAATCAACTGAGCCACCCAGGCACCCTTGAAAGAAAATGACATATGGATCTACTCTCCTCCCTGGTTGACTAGCTGGAAAAGAAAAAATTCCCCATAGACAGGAAATCAGCAGACTCCTTAACAATACTAACAAAAGAAGAAAGTTAGATTTTTTTAAGTTTATTTATTTAAGCAATCTCTACATCCAATGTGGGGTTCAATTCATAACCCTAGATCAAGAATTGAATGCTCCACCAACTGAGCCAGTCAGGCGTTCCTTCTTAACAAAATTTTAAGGCCTCTATGTGGGCTGCCAAGAAACATTTGACTTCTGAGACTCTAGTGTAGTTGTAGAGTGAATCTGCACTCACTCACTAATTCTACTGCCTGGGTCTTTACTGACTGCTCAGGGGCAGTTCTCCACAGGCTTGAAGGCAGGAGTGGAGAGCAGAGAGGGATGAATTCCAACTCCAGATTTCAGCTTTTAAGAGCTGCAGACAAACAGGGTTCTGAGTGGGGCTTCTCTAAGGCATTCTGCAGAGGAAAGATCTTCCTGGGCATACAAAGTCTTAGTAGGCCTGGAGGAGAGCAAAGAAAACTCCTTAGAAATATGAAGAGCTGAAAGTGCTGTAAAGGCAGAGATCTTCATGTTTTAAAAAGCTAGGACTTGGGCAGAGAAGCATTGAGATCTATGGATATCACTAGTGCTCAACCCCAAATCTGCAGGGTTTCATTTTAATTCCACTTTCAAATATTTAAAGCCTGTGGTCAAACTAAAGCTGCAACAAAGACCAAACACATCTCAACTAGAGACCAGATTTATTTAGCTCTCTAGCATAGACTTTTGTTTTTTAGACGTATATGCGATTTATACGCATTTCTATTTTCTTACACAAAACATCTTTAGTGCCATAAAATTTACATGACAAATAAAATATGTAAATCACAGCAAAAAGAGAATACATGGAGAGAAGCAGACCCAGAGACGGCCCAGATGTTGAAATTAACAGATTTAAAAAATTTTTACTGGGGCGCCTGGGTGGCGCAGTCGGTTAAGCGTCCGACTGCAGCTCAGGTCACTATCTCTCGGTCCGTGAGTTCGAGCCCCGCGTTGGATTCTGGGCTGATGGCTCAGAGCCTGGAGCCTGCTTCCGAGTCTGTGTCTCCCTCTCTCTCTGCCCCTCCCCCGTTCATGCTCTGTCTCTCTCTGTCCCAAAAATAAATAAAACGTTAAAAAAAAATTAAAAAAAAATTGTTTACTGTTTATTTATTTTTGAGAGAGAGAGAGACAGACAGACACAGAGACAGTCTGAGTGGGGGAGGGGCAGAGAGAGAGGGAGACACAGAATCCGAAGCAAGCTCCAAGTTCTCAGCTATCAGGACAAAGCCCACCTAGGGGCTTGAATTCACTAATGGTGAGATCATGACCTGAGCTGAAGTCAGACACTTAACTGACTAAGCCACCCAGGAACCCCAAAATTATCAGAGATTTTAAATAAAATAACAAAAAAATCTAAAGGAGCAAGTAGAAAAGGTGACCAATATGAATAAAGAGATGGTGGATCTTAGCAGAAACATGATTATATTAAAGAAAAATGTATTGAACTCTCTATTAAAAAATGCAATATCATAGATTAAGCACTTATTAGACAAATTTAACACCAGACTGGAATCTGAAAAGAATTAGTATCCTTGAGGACAGGTCAATAGCGCTCCTGGTACTCCTTGTGTGTGCTCGTTCAAGTGAAGGCCTGGTACCTCTGTGAGGCAGCAGCTGAGGAGAATGTGGCACACACCATGGCAGATGAAAAGCCCATGGAAGGAGTCAAGAGTGGGAACAATGGTCATGTTCATTTGAAGGTGGTGGGTCAGGATGGTTCTGCGGTGCTATTTAAGATTAAGAGGCACAGTGCATTTAGTAAACTAATGAAAGCCTGTTGTGAACAACAGGCTTGTCAATGAGCTTTGTCAATGAGGCAGATCAGATGCCAAAGGGACGAGCAGCCAATCAATGAAACAAACACTCCTGCACAGTTAGAGATGGAGCATAAAGATATAATTGATGTGTTCCTACTGCAGACAGGAGGTGTTTATGAAAAAATGGAATCTGCCACTTTATTCCAGAACTCTTCCTCCAGACCAAGAAAGAGTACAACCTCAACTAGAAAACTGCAGTTTTGGGGCACCTGGGTGGCTCAGTTCGTTAAATGTCCAACTTCAGCTCAGGTCCTGATCTCACAGCTCGTGAGTTCAAGCCCTGTGTTGGGCTCTGTGCTGACACCTCAGAGCTCAGAGCATGCTTCAGATTCTGTGTCTTCCTATCTCTGCCCCTCTCCTACTCTCTCTGTTTCTAACTCAAAAACAAATAAAAACATTTAAAAACATTTTTAAAAAATGAAAAAAGAAAGAAAGAAAGAAAATCACTGTCTGGTTCCACCACATCCTGATGACTAAAGTGTAGTTTTCTCTGTTCTTTCATTTTCCCCTTCCCCATTCCTTGGCTGCACATAAAGTAACTTGTGTGTATGTACATGAACATATTGCAGTTTTTTTTTTTAATTTTTTTTTCAACGTTTATTTATTTTTGGGACAGAGAGAGACAGAGCATGAACAGGGGAGGGGCAGAGAGAGAGAGAGGGAGACACAGAATCGGAAACAGGCTCCAGGCTCTGAGCCATCAGCCCAGAGCCCAACGCGGGGCTCGAACTCACGGACCGCGAGATCGTGACCTGGCTGAAGTCGGACACTTAACCGACTGCGCCACCCAGGCGCCCCGCAGTTTTTAACTTAATGACCAATGATATATTTCGATCAATACCAAATTGAGATGGGATGGGGAAAAATATTGGGGAAATGCCACAGATGTGGAAAAAATCTCCGTCTGTGACATGCTCATTCAGCTCTTATTTTCATGTGTTAGTAAGCTATTTTTGCTCTCATAAGAAAACAAAAAATAATATAAAAACTTGCATACTCTGTTTGATTAGAGAATTTTAATGCTTTACATTTATCACTATAAACCCTAGGAATATTTCATAACATTTTTGTACATAGCTGTAACATGTAGGGTGATCTGTCTTAAATAGGAACAAATTACTCTAAAGGAAATAAATCCTAGATAGTTTTCCACTCAAGTCAAGCATTTTGTTGTTTAAATAAATTTCATGTTTAAAATAAACAAAAGAAATCAATAGAAATATAGAAAAGAAATAAACATATAAAATAAACAAAAGAAATCAAATAGAAATCAATTTATATATATATAAAATATATATAATATAGGGTGTTGTATGGAAACTAATTTGACAACAATTTTCATATATTAAAAAAAAGAGCTGAAAAAAATAACTATACATATATAGTCAAATAAATAAATAATTTTTAAAAATAGAGAAGTGTTTGAGATCTGAAGGACAATATCAAACCCACGATTACTGTAGAAAAAGAAGATAGAGAAAAGGATAAAAAAAAGTATTTAAAGAAACAGAGCAGAGAATAATTCAAAATGACTGAAGGTGTTAACACATATCTGATATTCAGTGGACCCCATGCAGAGTGCGACGAAGCAAGACACACCTCTTCATAGTTAAATTGCTGAAAACAAATTTTAATAATTTAAAATGAGTCCGTAAAAAATAGACTATCTTCAATGGAACAACGTGCATGATGGTTTATTTTCCACTAAAAATAATTGCACAATGTATTATTGCACAAGGCAATAATAAAAAGTGCAAAACACCAGAAGTCAACCTAGGAGTGTTGTATATAGATCTATCTCTTCTTCCAAAAAAGGGGGAAAATAAATTCATAAAACAAAACCTTAGGGAATTTACCTCAGCAAAAACATACTACAAGACACTCCGCTAAAGAGAACTGATACCAAGTGGAACCGCAGATCTGCAAGAATGAATGAAAGGCATAAAATATAGTAAATACCTGGGAAAATATAAAAGGCCTTTCAGTCTATATCTGTATTTAAGTCTATGTATATTTTTGAAAGGTTGCAGAGCATTTAAAATAAAAGCAATAAAAGGGGCACCTGGGTGGCTCAGTCAGTTAAGTGTTAGACTCTTGATTGTTGCTCAGGTCATGATCTCTCGGTTCAAGCCCTCCTTGGGCTTCAGGCTGACTCTTTGGAGCCTGCTTGAGATTCTGACTCCCTCCCTCTCTTCCCCTCCCCCACCTTTTCTCTCTCCCCCTCGCGCTCTGCCTCTCCACTCTCTCTCTCACTCTCTCAAAATAAATAAATACACTTTAAAAAACAGAAAAGTAATAACAATACCGAATGTATTTAGAGATTGTTAGCATATGTGGTATAGAACTAAAATATACAAAATCAAGAGCACAAAGGGGAGGAAGAGAGCAAAAAAAACCCCACTAAACTGCATGTGTTATAGCATAAGATTATTTGAGTGTACACTGCAATGAGTCTAAGATTCATATTGTAAACTCTAAGCCTATACTTCCCACAAGGGTAGTCAGTGGCTACATGCTGATATTTAAATTTAGGAAGAAATTAATAAAAATTGAATAAAATTGAAAATTCAGCTCCTAAAGTTACACTAGCCACATTTCAAGTGCGAAGTAATTACATATCCTTGGTGGCCACCATGTTTGATTGAACAGATAGAGGAGATTTCCATCAGTTAAGTTATTTTAGACATCACTGCTCTATATAAACATAAAATTACAACACAAAGCTATAAATCTAAATACCAAAAGTAGGAGTGAAAATGAAATTTTAAAAAATGTGATATAACTCAAAGATGTAAGGAAAGAAAAACAGAGATATGTTATTAAATGAGATAAAGAAAAACCAAACATGAAGACAGGAGATTAAAACAAAACTATATTAATAATTATACATTAAATGGTAATAAACAAAACATCCCAGTAAAAGTCAGTGATAATAAGATTATATTAAAAAGACACAATTCTATGCATTTTATGTGCAAAGGGAGAGAAGTTGAAAGTAAATGTGTAAAAACAATACCACTAAAATACTAAGATTAAGAAATAATTTTATGATTAAGATATATTGTGTTAAAGATACTATTTAAAAACTAAGATTGAGAAATTGGTTGGACATCTTAATTTCAGATGAAGGTTTTTTCAAGGGAAAGAATATTACTGGAGAAATAAAGAAATATTTCCTAATTGTAAAGAGGATGATTCATCAAGAAGTCATAACAATTCCAAAAGTGAATGTACCCAATAAAAGAGATTTTAAAATACATGAAGCAAACTTCACAGATTATATGGAGATGACAAGTCCACCTTTGTGTCCAGAGTTTTTATATAACCATCACCCAACAACTGTATATATATAGGACTATCCCAACAGCTGTACAGTCTTTGCAGATACGCATGAATTATCCACCAAAACAGACTAACTACTACTTATAAAAAAAGTCTCCAACATGCTTAATAATTAAAATCATATGGAATATATCCTATGGATACAATGGTATCAAATTAGAAAATAATTTTTTTTTTCAACGTTTATTTATTTTTGGGACAGAGAGAGACAGAGCATGAACGGGGGAGGGGCAGAGAGAGAGGGAGACACAGAATCGGAAACAGGCTCCAGGCTCCGAGCTATCAGCCCAGAGCCCGACGCGGGGCTCGAACTCCCGGACCGCGAGATCGTGACCTGGCTGAAGTCGGACGCTTAACCGACTGCGCCACCCAGGCGCCCCAGAAAATAATTTTTAAAAGCTATATTTAATAACAAATTTTTAAATAACCTATAGGACGAAAAAGAAATCAAACAGAAAATTATAAAAGAGTACAAGATGAATTACACTAAAAACATAGTACATAAAAATCTGTGTGGTTCACTAAAACTGCACCAGGGGTATTTGTAGCTTGAATGTTTATAGCAGAAAAGAAGAATTATTTTTAAATAAGTAACCATGGCACAAAAACAGACACATAGACCAATGGAATAGAATAGAAACCCCAGAACTAGACCCACAAACGTATGGCCAACTCATCTTTGACAAAGCAGGAAAGAACATCCAATGGAAAAAAGACAGTCTCTTTAACAAATGGTGCTGGGAGAACTGGACAGCAACATGCAGAAGGTTGAAACTAGACCACTTTCTCACACCATTCACAAAAATAAACTCAAAATGGATAAAGGACCTGAATGTGAGACAGGAAACCATCAAAACCCTAGAGGAGAAAGCAGGAAAAGACCTCTCTGACCTCAGCCGTAGCAATCTCTTACTCGACACATCCCCAAAGGCAAGGGAATTAAAAGCAAAAGTGAATTACTGGGACCTTATGAAGATAAAAAGCTTCTGCACAGCAAAGGAAACAACCAACAAAACGAAAAGGCAACCAACGGAATGGGAAAAGATATTTGCAAATGACATATCGGACAAAGGGCTAGTATCCAAAACCTATAAAGAGCTCACCAAACTCCACACCCGAAAAGCAAATAACCCAGTGAAGAAATGGGCAGAAAACATGAATAGACACTTCTCTAAAGAAGACATCCGGATGGCCAACAGGCACATGAAAAGATGTTCAGCGTCGCTCCTTATCAGGGAAATACAAATCAAAACCACACTCAGATATCACCTCACGCCAGTCAGAGTGGCCAAAATGAACAAATCAGGAGACTATAGATGCTGGAGAGGATGTGGAGAAACGGGAACCCTCTTGCACTGTTGGTGGGAATGCAAATTGTTGCAGCCGCTCTGGAAAGCAGTGTGGAGGTTACTCAGAAAATTAAAAATAGACCTACCCTATGACCCAGCAATAGCACTGCTAGGAATTTATCCAAGGGACACAGGAGTACTGATGCATAGGGGCACTTGTACCCCAATGTTCATAGCAGCACTCTCAACAATAGCCAAATTATGGAAAGAGCCTAAATGTCCATCCACTGATGAATGGATAAAGAAATTGTGGTTTATATACACTATGGAATACTACGTGGCAATGAGAAAAAATGAAATATGGCCTTTTGTAGCAACGTGGATGGAACTGGAGAGTGTGATGCTAAGTGAAATAAGCCATACAGAGAAAGACAGATACCATATGGTTTCACTCTTATGTGGATCCTGAGAAACTTAACAGGAACCCATGGGGGGTGGGAGGGAGGAGAGGGTGGGTGATGGGTATTGAGGAGGGCACCTT